CATGTAGAATCACCACATTCCTGCTTGTACCATCAATTACATGACACTTCAAAAAAAAAAAAAAAAAATAATAATAATAATAAAAATATATATATTTTTTCTTCTTTTGAAGTGTCATGTTTATTTCTCTACTAAAAAATATTAACAATCTGCAAAAATTCAGTATATTACATTGACTATATGAAAATCATATGAAATAACTAATGTACTAATTTGATCTAATGTAAAGAGGGTAATAACTTAGTAGAGAATTTATAATTTTTTTAAATTAAGAGATATGAAATATATAGAAAAAAACAACACACTTAAAAAAAAAAGAGTACATTCAAACAAAACATCAAATTTCAGAAACTCCTGTGAATTATCTCAACTTAGACCTTAACATTCACTTTGAAATTTGAGAGGAAGGTGTTATGTTTAAGGTATGGGTAGATGGCAGTGCAGTTCAGTGACTGACTACTACTACTGATGTCAATAAGCCATTAACTGGCATGCTAGTCTCCCCCGGTTATATGCAGCATGTTGGTCCACAAAATACAGTAATATGTATAAGTAAGTGATCGGTGTATTATTAATATGTATTAAGTTAATATTGAATATAAAACAACAAGCAACAAAAATTAAGTTTATCATATTTGAAAAATATATTTGCTTACTATTTCATTTAAATAAATTTTTAAAATTGATTTAATGAGGCAATGCAAGGTTGGAGAAAGAATGTTAAAGGTATATTGCTTCACTACTGTAGATTAAAAAACAGTGTTGAACTAGACACTGTAGTTATAGTTATGACCAGTTATATGTTATGAAAAATTCAAATATTGATAAGGAAATTATAGATGTAACTGTTTAAAGGCTAATATTTAATCAAAACTTATAACAATTTTCAATGTCTGATAGTGGTAAAATATTGGTATATAAAAATTGAAAAGTGTGAATAGAATTACTGATAAATAATTTTAAGTGATGAATAGAATTTTTATTATGTTCATCACTAAGAAAAATTAATATTTATGAATCATTTCAAATCAACAAAAATATAGAAATACATTAAAATCATATTAATTAAATTATCCACAACTATGAGGCAGATAATAGTGAGGGCTTATCAGACCAATGATGGGCACAAATGCTTAGGAATCAGTGAAAACAATTTAATAAACTCAAAAAATTACTACATAAGTGTAAAAACGAAAACCCAAAATGCATCAAGTTGCCTCATCAGTTGGTATTAGTTAAAGGTAATGCTATAATAGAATTATACAAGGTAACGGTCAACTTAAAAACTAAGCCTAAAGTTATACAATATAAAAATTGAAGACACCACTGTAACAGTATGAGTAGTAAGCATCATCAGTAGGTATTAGCTAAAGTAGATGGTATATTAAAAATTATACAAAGTAAAGATAAACTTAAAACTATGCCTAAAACCATACAATATAAAGGTGAAGACGCCATTATAACAGTATGAGCAGTAGGCAATATCAGTGTAGACAGGTGTAATAAATCTTCATGACTTTGCATGGTGGAGTGACATACAGGATGCTGATACAAAACAGTTATAAGTTAGACAATTATTAGTTAACACTAATGGACTAAAGTTATACAGACAGGTAATGTACATACCAAAAAACAGTAAGACGACAGAGTAGCAGGTGCCAGCTTACAACAAGGTGCTGGGAATGGTAGTAAGGGAGGTGTGTAACAGTCCACATCTGGAGTGCAAGTGGTGACAACATATGATACAATTACAAGTTCCCAACGGTTTTTAGCAATACATATGGTCGTAACATCACAAAGATATTTACTTTCTAAAAAATATAATTATACCATCCTCGTCAATTTTAACACCTAAGTTATCATTAATTCTATTAACATAATTAATTTTTAAAATTTCTATGTGCTATACTTACGGTTATAGGTGATATATAGGTTTAACTGTAGCTGTAATAACCCTATAACCTATGTAGGTGAAACAAAAAGATGTCTCAATGTTCATATAAAAGAACACATAAATGCCATCAAATACAATTTTGAATACTCTGCAGTTGCCAAACACTGCAATCTATATGGTTGTGAAATTAATAAAAGTACAATAAAAGCAATAAAATTTGAAACCTATAAACGTAAGTATTTTGAGCACACAGAGATTTAAAATTTATTTAAATTGTTTTCACTTTGATCCCTGAGCGTTTGTGCCCATCATTAGTCTGATAAGCCCTCACTATTATCTGCCTCGTGGTTGTGGATAATTTAATTAATATAATTATATCAAGGGCTAGAAGCAACTTTTGTAATAATTTCGTTACATTAAAATCATATGAGATTTATGTTTAAAATTATTTGATATAAATTTTTATACTGATCTCTCTGGTAAAGTTTATATCAGCTAGATTAAAAATGCTTTTTACAAAATTGTTTATAATTAATATTCCCTAAAATCAATTCAATGTAATTAATAAAACTATTCCAATTTCTCTATTAAGACCATCTTTTGCCTGCATTTTCTACATTTTCATAATATCAAACAAATTTCTTAATTTTTTTAGTGAACTAGAAAATAATAAAATCACTTTACTTTGAATTTTATTTTATCAATAAAAAAATTCTATATTTTTTTCTTGATATAAAGCAAATAGAATGAAGTTAGAATAAACTAACTTATGTCTTTAATAATCATTCCAAAAGATAATAGAATATAATAAATGATTTGCTTTTTTCTTAATTTGAACATTAACAATTAAGAAATTACTCTTATATATTTCATTTTAGCTTTCTTAAAGTCACCAAACTTTAACTTTATAATCATATGAATTTGTCATTATATTCTTGCAGAAAAAGAAACAAAACAACAGAAAATTAATTTACATGAGTATCATAGCTATTTGTGCACATCAAACAAAAGAAAACAAAGAATTCTTTAATATGGGAAGTAAACACAAATATGCAAATCCTCTATATCACTGTCAGTATTTATATTTGACTAATAACATCATATGAAAGAACTATGTCAGACTATATATTTGCAATATTAAATGTATATTAAATGGAGCTATTAAATGCTCAAAATTATTACAGTACTTTATGTTGTAAATATTCATATTATTCTATATTACCCAAAAATATTTCAATTTTTATACAATTTTATAATTAAATAACTATACTATAAAAAATAAAGTGTTTAATTTCCAAATTTCAAATATTCCATTACATTTTCCAATTTAATTTTATTATTAAAACTTGTTGATATTAATTCTGCAACATTATGTTCTGAGATAAAAATTGCTTTCATAACAGCTTTGATATATTAACTTTCATGTGAAATGAAAGTTTTAAAATTTATCATCAAACTAATCACAGCACTTTCAAATTGATTTCATCTCATTTATTTGATAATGAATAATACAGTTAATATAGTAAAACGATGTCCAGTTGGATCCATCATCACAGTCACTGTAATTCAAATTTATAGAATTATTTAAAAAACTGATCAGTTTTTCAATTAAAAAAAATTATGATTTTTGTGTATCTATTAATTTCTTGAAATTTGATTAAAAAAACAAGTTTATCAATCTGCTAATCAGTTTATTTTCATAATCTACACACTAGAGCAAAGATTTTGAACTTGATGATATGGCCAATGATAATCCCTAAAAGTTTAACTGATTTATCTGGGTGGTTGAAATATTACAAAGATTGGGATTTGATTGACTGCTTTATTTTTATTACATTTTTAAACAAAATGTAATAATAATTGATATATCTTTACATTTTAGTAAAGTAAAACATACAATTTTGAATTATATTAAATACTAATTAATTAATACTTTTTTTAAACACTATCAAAAAAAATTACAGTGAAGTGTCAAAAATTAGACATTAAAAAAATGATTAACCCTGAATGGTACCTTCATTATTATTCTTTTGGCCTGCATTGTTGATGTACTAACATTCATTCAGAATTCAGAATTTTTTTTAGTTTTGGAACTATAATTAGTATATTTTTAATTTAAATATAGTGATTCTGTAAATTAAACTTGAAATTTTTAAGTATTCCTACATTTCATGTGAAAGACTGGCTTGAACTTACAATACCTAAACTTAAATTTCAGCGTAATTGGAATTTACAGTACTTAAAATGTAAATTTATACATATACAGTATTTGAAAATCCTGATGGGATGTGACCCCAATTAATCCAGATTTTTTACACTTCACTGTATTTATTATTTATTTTGTGTCAATATAAAAAAAAGAGGTGATAAATTAAATCTAATTTTGAAAAGGATCAAAAGCAAAATAAGTTTGGAATCCTTTTTATTAAATATAGCCACATGTTCTCATAATTATATCCTGTAAATAAAATGATATACAATTGCACTAACCATTACTGCTGCTCAAACATTATTATTGTACTGAGGTAAAAATTCAAATCATCATGTTTGTTTATTTATTTATATATTCAGATTTCCTTATTTTTAGATTTTTTCATAAAAAAGTTTTTTACTTAATCTGTAAAAATAAAATGCTCTAATCTTATTTATATATTAACTACTGATTTTAGCTGTTATATTAACAAATGTAACTGATTATTCAAAATTTCAATGAAAATAGTATTTTACCTCTTACAGTTTAATATATATATATTTGTTATTTGTTAATTAAAACTGTTTAACATTTTTAGTGAAATATTTTATTAAATATTATATATATAATATTTAATAAAATATTTCACTAAAAATGTTAAACAGTTTTAATTAACAAATAACAAATATATATATATTAAACTGTAAGAGGTAAAATACTATTTTCATTGAAATTTTNCTAGGATTATGATATAAGCAAGAAACAGTGCCTTCTATAAGTATTTTTATGAGTAGAAATAATATTAAAAAGCATTAAAAAAAGATATGCAAAACCCATAAAATTAAATTTTTGCATCTGCTTTTATTTATTCTGGGGACTGATGAATCCATTTTCAACACTTGGTGTCAAACATACCAAGAGATGATGAAAAAAACAAGTCCAGGAGGGAGATGGTGCGGCGGGATGGTTTGCTTTTATGACGAAGAGACATTTTTTTACCTTCTTTTTTATTTGACCTTTCTTCATTATGAGAATCCAAAATTTCTGGAGACTGGATTTGACCTAATGAGGACAAATCTGCCTCCTCAAAATATAAGGGACCTATAACAAAATATTTTTCTTATTTAATTATTAAATCACTTCTAAAAAAATATAAATTAAAAAATAATACAAACCTGGTTTGTCAGGACCTGTTCCTCTAGTAAGTACAAACTGTTCTAATAGTTTATCAAGGTCCATATCATTACATTGTTGTCTAAACTCAACATGCACCTGGGGGAAAAAATGTTTACATATTTATATTAAACAAAATATATAGTGTAAGTACAGAATCAAATCTAAGAATTTTTCACAAATACTGACAAAAATTTAATTAAAATAAATGCACAAATTATAATTTAACTGCCAATGTTATGCCCACTATTAAATTCTTTTACATCAATGTATTATCATTCAACATAGGTATAAACTTAAATTCAATTTTGTTACATGACATCGCAAATATTACAGTCTATAACACCAAACTTAAAATTGGCAAATTTTGTAACAAAATTCTACAAGTCAGCATTAAACTTCCACTTGTTTAGAAATAATGAATAAATTTATACTTTCATAGAGATCATTCAATCTGAAAAATATTACTCAGTAGCACATTACATAAACAAACTGATATGCATAAATAAAACTACCTTAATAAAATAGTAATTATAAAAAGAATAACCTAAATCTTATATATACTTTGATTAAAAAAAATTAGGTGCAAAAAGATTAAGTTATCTTCATTTATATAAATTTATAACTTGGATAAAATTTTAAAAAATTCTAGAAATAAGTTTCTCACAGATAACATTTTAATCTGCCTACTCATCATATTCTTATTACTACAGTTGATTTTGTGAAAGTTGTTTTAAGAAAGTGGATTTGGTAGCCTTCATTTCTCATTTGTGTTAAACTTTTTCCTTTCAACTTTTTCTTGAGTGTTGGAAAAACCCAAAATTGCAGAATATAAGGTCTGGGCATCTGAAGGATGAGCTGAAGATTGGTCATCAATTTTCTCCAAAGTCTGTATTGCTGCTCAATCCAAATTTCTGGTCTACCTTAAAAAAACCATTCTTGATTAATAGTTCTGGTCTTTACTTGTACATTGATGACAAAGCTTTAGCATAATAGTCTGAGTTTACAATTTGATTCTCAGGAATCCAATGTTGTAATAATATCCGTGTCAAAAACAAAAATCGACATCAATTCCTTTGAATAACTACAAACCCAGACATTCTGGGACAGTGAAATGATATGTCGCCATATGCTTCACTGTGGTTTTGATTTGAGATCAAAATATTTGATCCAAGACTCATCAGTAGTAACTATTCAATTCAAAAAGTTGTAATCTGTTTCCATTTTCTGAAGAAAATTTTCACAAAATTTAATGTAACAATATAGTACTGCTTTTGCTCCTTAGTAAAAACATGTTAAATGTAAGATAGAGTGCCACATGTACAGATGCATCTTTTCAATTTCACTAGCATTCAACTATATTTACAGCTTATGAATCAATAAATTTTTCTCTCTCTCTCAATAACTTTGGCTTTTCATTGTTTTCTCCATTTACAAATGTTGATAGATTCCCACTTGCCCACTTCATGGCTCATCCTGTACATTGCATTTACAGTTCTTGAAATTTTTCCACCATACAGCCAACCTGCCCAATCCTTCTCTAATGTATGTTTCTTGAATCATCTGAACTTTTTCCCAATCACTTTTGCTTTCCCACAAAATTCAATCATCATTCTGTCTGACAATTAACAGTTTTTTGTTCTCATCTGCCATTCTCATCCACACTACACACAAACAACAACGGCACATTGTCTTCATTCCAACTAACAAAGCACATGTGCAACAATCTTCTCCCACCAGAAACATGTCCCTCGATTGTTGCCAGTCCATATATTTCTGAAACAACTCTCAAATCTAAACTAACTGTTAACAATAAAACAATAAAATAAAATTTGTTTTATTTAAAACTACAGTAGAGCGTCGTTTATCCGAAGGTCGGTTATCCGAAACGTCGGCTATCCAAAGGAATTTCAGTCGACAAATTTAAATTTTTGCCAGTGCTGTGGCGCTGTAATCTTTAGCTATGTCTTCGGCTACTCAAATATTTTACGTTTTTGATACTAAATTAACTTCTGAAGTATAATTTTTTATTGTTTTTATATTTTTCAATATATTTATTTTGTTTGTACAAAATAAAAAAATAATTTCTAACGATACAATAGTCTTTGTTAGGCTTAACATCGACGAAAATTCAACGCGAAGCGACACGCAACGAAGAAAAATTTCAACATCGGATACGTTAAACTATTTTTTCGTACATAAATCAGTTATCCGAAATATCAGTTATCCGGACAACCCCAGTCCCCAATTGATTCGGAAAATCGACGCTCTACTGTATT